CTCTTTTGAAGAACTGCATCGCAAAAGGGCAATCGAGATGGCGATCTTTTTGAGAAATTGCGCAGCTGAGAGGAGGGGTCAATGCCCGAAAATCATCGGGGAAGGCAAAACAGAAGACCTAGAACAACTTTCTTGACCATCTTGATATGATCACGGCCCGTGAAAGAACCTCCATGATATAGGAAAAGTCAAAGAGACCGAGGGGGAGACGTTGTGTATTTAAGGCAGCCAATGCCATGTGGTTGGCAGCGGCAACGTCTATTTAATTCTCCGACGTGCTTCGGACGGGTGCACAAGGACCTAAGCAATGGCCTGAGAAATGGCCTGACAATTTAGTGAGACGTTGACAGGAAGGCTGGACCTGCCATGGTAGCCACGCAGATAGACAATGAGCCTCTCCGATGCTTTTCGGACTTCACATAACGGGGCTCATGGAGTGTGCATCCAATGATATCGGACGGGGAACAGGGTGACGATAGGCGAGCCGCATCCCTGTGTGTGCAAAGCATTCCTCTCGGTTATCGTTTAACTTATCGGTATTGGCAAGACGAAACGGATTGATGACTTACGCTCCCCTTTGGTCAAGCGTTTCATCGACGACGCCTGGGCCGCACCCGCAAATGCCCTTCTAAGTTAGCTAGTACCTTACACGAGTCAGTTCCCTGGTAATGATGAAGTAGAATGTATAAACGGTATTGAGCGTTACTGCTGTAAACGGCCTCCTCAAGAGTGCGCTGGTGTCTAGACCGCGAGGGCTGCATTCTGCTCCGATAATCATTCGATTTTCTGGCTCTTCAGGGCCAATGTCGTTTATAGCTGACACAGATTTACTCGAGGCTGTATTTGTTGAACATGAAAGCGATCAATCAAGCCACACTCCTTAGGATGGCCCTGATGTTCCCTCTTTAGTAGTGTCCATACTTGAATTCAGGGGTTGTATCCTAATCCCACCTCGAGCATCGAAACCTTCCATCTCCAATCGAAGACCTCCACAGACATAATGCTATGGTAACGCGCCTCCTGTTATCACATTCAAACGCCTTCTGATGTGCTGTTCACGCCAGACTCCTGCGAGGAGACACACAAGTTCCCAATGAGCATCATCTCAAGGCACGGCTTGCCTCCTGGTCGGCATATTCGTTGCTCCAGCGACGTACGTGCCAAAAGAGCACGGGAATCTGACACTTCGTCTCCAGTATGTAGGGCACGCTATAAGTTGCGATTCGCGACGTATTTTCCTTTGTAGGTCGTCTAGCCATTGCCCTTCCATTTGAAAATCCAATTGGTGACACCTTGAACCACGTACATTGGATCCATCTTGATGATGACTTCATTGGAGTTTAACTGACGAGTCAGTCTCATGCCGATAGTGACAGCTCGACTATCCCTTCGATTAGTGTCAACACGTTCGAGATTGCGGGTGTTACATGAGAAGCAGAGAATATGAATAATTGTAGGCTACAAGGCTATATAGTATTCCCTTTAAGGAGAATACTGACATAGCAGCTACCAGCTCGGCCCTTTGAGAGGTTGCTTAAGACCGAAGCCTCGCGCTCTCGTTCCAACATGCCACAATTCCACTATGACCCACGAAGACTCCATGTGCTGCTTCAGCATGTTTCTCGCCGTTAAGATGGCAGGCACCGTCCGCGGAGATGATCAGTGGCTCTTCGTCAAGATAATATGAGTTGTTGTTGGTACTTAGACGGGCGAAGCCTTCGACATCAGCCGACTGAATGTCTTGTGGACTCCAACCAGAGGTCTTATAATGAACGAAACGGTTCCAAGGGAAGAATTGACCCACCATTTTGGCTTAGCCTAGTATTTTGTGAATTCAAGAATACTAGCAGGATGGAAACATCGAGCAGTGAAGTTTTGCCAGAGCGACTAGGAGCACCAACGTGGGCAAAGAGGCAACCAGAGGCCTTGCATATGAAGAGTAACACGTTGGTTATTAGGCAAGGTAGGTTCTAATCTACAAAGCACAAATCAAAAAGCAGCACAAAGTCGTCGTTTGGCAGCTCCTTCTTCAAGGGGTGCCGGCATTTAGACCCATATTAATACAAAGAAGTCTCTCAAGAAGCAATGATGGCGGTACCGATAACCTTTATTCATGTACAAATATTTACATTATATCAAACAGTCGGGCACTAAGGGTATCGGATCAGATGTTCTTATGTCGGTCTTTGTGAGCCTGCCTAGCTACGATGGCTTACGGCGCAGGTTCAAGATATCTTGCAGCTTCAACTGGCCTTTTGCGCCCCAGCCTGATGGTCCGCTTTCTACCTCAGGGCGGATTGCCACATACCAACTCCAGGCTCTCCGATCCAGCTCGCCAGCTGTGAGGTGGTCCGCCCAACTATCAAATAGAAGCCGTAGTGCTCCAAGAAGCAGCCCCAAATTCTCAGCCTTCTCTGCATCTAGAATCTTCTGTGTTTTCTTCGCCGGTGCCTTAGACTTAGTTGGCGACTCAGCATTGTCGGCACCATGGGTTTCTAATGGGCTTCCAAAGCTCCTGAGAATATAATTCCTCGCAGCCTCTGGTCTATGAATCTGCATGCCTCCTATCACTGCATCACGAGCTTTGGTCCCGCTCCCATGGCCGCCTGTTGCTGACTTATTCCTCATGCCCTCCAGATCCAGACCCCAGACTGCCTCACCACCAATGCTGACTTCGGCGCCGGTCTTTCGAAGCCGCTCAGACAGGGCACTCGTAACGACATTTCTCATCAAACGCCAGCGATCAGGACCGAGCATGATGCCTCCGAACCATCGGGTCAATACAACAATCGTATCTACCGCATTAGATTCTTTCATGATGCGCAGCATCAAGTCACCACAACCCGACTCTCCGTCGTCGAATGAGTCCTCCCTCATGAAAGTGGAGCTGCTTTGCTGAGACGGCCTTATTCGATATGCCCAAGCGTTATGATTTGCTGTCTTCAGATTCGGATGCGCCTCAAACAATGATCTCATGAGGCTCTGCCGTTGTGATGGATCTGTGATAACTGCAGCACGTGCAATAAATGTTGACGACTTAAGGGAAATCGGTTGACTGGAAGCCCAGACATTTGTACTTTGCGTTATTGTAGCTTGCGTAGACTGTGAAGAGTCGCCTTTAAGCGTTGATGATGTTGATTCGGGTAACTCTTCCAAATGGCTATCCGCCTTGCTCTCTGTTTCTTCCACAACCTCGTCTCCTTTCCATTGATAGCCACCACGCTTCAACACAGCGATATCACGGCCCATAACACGTATTCTTGGCTGGCCCTCACCCCAGCCCTCATCATCAGCACTAGGGCCCTTGTCAAGACCTATACTGACGGCTTTTGATCTCGAATTGGCACTGACAACTGCTTGAGCAAGACTTAACCGGCTTGAGGGCGGCTGCTCAGGCATTGTGTATCTCAGCAGTTCCACCGCAAACGCAAGGACTAGAGGCGCTCGATTTGTCACTATAGCCGTTTGCGCAATCTTTTCCTCGTCCGTAGACACTGGCAGTTCTAGGGAGCTCTCGAGTTGCTGTGGAGTCATCTGAGTCGGCCCAAGTAAGAAGTCATCGCTGTAACCGGACGCCGAGTATTTTGCTCGCTTCGAAGCGCTTTCGTCCCCCGCAGCTGGGGCAGGACGCTTCCCCGTCCCGAACCTCTTGAGATGCGCTTTGCAAGCATTCTGAAGTGACCTTGCCGCCTTGTCATCCGAAATTGCTGTGACAACCGTCGGAAGGGGCGCTTCGGCGATTTGCTGTATGCTGGGTGACACGGGTGTGTTGGCTGTGAAGCTCGAGCGGCGGGGCGAGTGAGTGTGGGGGGAGCTCGCTCACCTACGAAGATTCACCGCCTGCAATGACTTGATCTGTGCCATTGCTTGCATCATCGGCAATTTTCGTGCAGTCTGGAGGCGCAGGAGCTCCTGGAGGTCCTGCTGCGTCGCCATGGTGGGTTTCCAGTCGCTTATCGTGGTGTTTGCTAGAAAGCTGAGCTTGCAGCTGAGCTCCGGCGGCGCATAAAGTGACGTCGCGAGCTATCACGGATCACGCCGTAGCTGCCTGCTGGAAGTCCAGTAGGTCGCACGATTCCAAAGTACCGGGTAACTCATCTAGCCCCCTGTTGGGCCCCGCTTTTCGACTGGCCGGACGTTCTTTCCGTCGGTCACCGGTGTGGACCAAAGCCCAGGCCAAACACGTCTAGCGGAAAGCACCCCGGTCGTTACAATCGGAGGGTTTTGCTGGGCTCACGTGCAAATCGCATGATGCTGCAACCTCTGTCTCCTTTTCAAGGTGCATCCAGTTCTGGAGGAAGTCAGCCAATGAACAAGCTCCATTGAACCTGGGATAGGCCGGCTTCGAGCTCGCAGTAGTCCTGCAAGGCATTGCATTATCTCAGATTCTGACCTGCCAGTTCGATCAGCAGAGTCCTCGAAGGAACCTGTATTCCAGTCTTATCAACGTTTGGGATGACACGGAGGTCAGATCAACACCGCTCATGACACCCTTGCGGCAGGTCAAAGTGAAGGTCCTATGGAGGCCTTCAGCATGCATCCGCGCTTATCAGAGTTCATACAAGCCGGGTCGTGCACGACAGTTCCATGCCTCCAGTCGATCAGGCAAAGCGAAGCCTCCATCCACACCGGCACGGTCTAGACCTTCAAGGGCATCGAGGGGCTCCAAAACTCCTCTGCCCAAAGCAAATGCCGTGAAGTCATCTGCATCGCCAGAGAAGGACACCCTTCCGAGCCTGTTCAATCAGCGCAAGTTGCCGTTGGTCGGAGCTGGGTTGGCTGCTGCATGTCTGGGGCTCTATCTCTCCTCGCTTGCCATCTCCGTTTTCAAACCAGCTCCGTGTGCGCACAATCATGACGAGAACACAGAATCTGAAAGTCCGACGGGGCGGCCACCCGAGCTGCGGGAGGGCAAAATATCTGCCGGCGCCTTTGATGCAAGCCTTGACTGGCCGGAGTGGCTTATGGGAATCACCAAGCTGCGGCGCATTATAGGTGGTATGGCAAGAGGGCATGTTCTCGAGGTTGCCGTTGGTACGGGGCGGAATCTGGAGTACTATGACTGGGAAGACATCAAGGAAATGGCCTCTGCCACACAAGGAGAGCAGCAGACCGAGCACGAGCGAGAGCGCAAACGCAAACGCCTTGAGAAATTGGAATCCGGCAAATGGAAGCGGGACGATGTCTCACCAGAGTTGCTGAGCTTCACGGGCGTAGACATCTCAACGGACGTGCTGGAAGTATCTTGGGGCAAATTGAGAAAAGCTGTGCCTGAGCTCATCTCAAAGCGACGAAGGCAGAGAGCTGAGGCCCAGGGTCAGGACAAGGGGCAAAGTAAAACATCATCTTTACCCACTGCCGAAGGAAATACGCTTGCTGTCAATCTGGGCGACGGTAGGATCCGGCTGTTCAAAGGCGACGCACAAGCATCGCTGCCAGCACCTCCTTCCTCCGATGGTTCTGCATCCTCGCCTACGAAGTACGACACCATTGTGCAAACCTTTGGACTCTGCAGTGTAGCTGAACCGTCGCGTCTGCTGTCGGAAATGGCGGGGGCATTGCAGCCCAATACGGGACGCATCATCCTACTGGAGCACGGTCGGGGCTGGTACGACTTTATCAACTCTATGCTTGACAAGTATGCGCCGAGCCACTTTCAAAGGTTTGGATGCTGGTGGAATCGCGACATTGAGGGCATCGTCAGGGCCGCCGCTGATACGATACCGGGTCTGGAGGTCGTTCGCGTGGAGCGGCCGTACGTGCTGCAGGCGGGCACAATGCTCTGGGTCGAGCTCCAGCTGGTTCGCCCTGGTGCCGAGGGTGGCAATGGCAGCAAGGTCCCGCGCTCGGCTCCTGCCGAGAGCCGGTAGAAGTTACTCGAGGTTGCACAAAGGCCGGCACTGTCAAACATGTCTGCCATGTGTGCCAAGAGAGTGGAAACGGCGCGACACGTACGGAAATGTAGAATGTAAAACACTGTATTCAGAATACGCTATCTTTGGCGAATCGCCCGGCAAAGAAAAACTGCCGAAATACCGCTAGCTCTCCCAATCCGTGATTATCCCGCCCTGCTTGTCGTCACGGGACCGGTGCTCCATGTGCGAAATGATCGCCTGGGGGGCAGCCAGGTGGTGCAATTCCTCACCGGTCCCCATCCGTCCGGCAGCGGTACGAGCGGGTGCCGCTCAAGCCCGCGGCGAGATACCACGTTTCCTGGAACACTGCCAGTGGACTAGGTATCTGGACCCTCGGACCCTCAGACCTTCCCGAACTGCCAGACCTGCCAGACCTGCCAGTAGCCACCCCCTGAAATGACGCGGCATGACGACGATTTGCAGAAGCGCGATATCTGTATCACGAGGTCAGCAGCTGCTGGAGCCCTGGAAAGCGACGGCATTGGCATCGCATGATGGTCCCTTCCTTCTCTCGCCTCGGTGAAGCTTTGGGTTGTGATGCTCGAAGGAAGGTATGGATGAAAAAGGAAGCCACGATGCTGCTTTCTAAGCGCACCACGTAGGAGACAAGATTCCACTGTAGCACCTGGGCAACCCACCTGCCCTCGAGTCACCTCAACCTGGTGACTGACTGTGTAGAGTAAGACGGCCTATATCTTGTCGAACCTGCAACGACCCTCATCAGCCATCATCCCCTTTTCCCTCTCTCTCCCCATCTAGCAACCCAGAAGCTTCCATCATGCGTCTCACTACTGCCTCTGTGACCTCAAGCGTTGGCAACGTACATATTCACTCTCTCCAGCGGGTCGTGGAGCTCGACTCGGGCAGCACCACCCCTGTGGACGATGGCTCATCAAACAACACGAGACGCGATGATGGCACAGTTTCTGTGTCCACGGAAGATCTTCGCGCCATCGAAGCCCAGCTTGTTATCGTAGTACCTTGCATGAACGAGGACATCTCCACGATCGAAGGCGTTCTTAGCTCCATTCCACACCGCTGCCTCATCATTCTGGTTTCTAACTCTTCCACGGAAGGAGCTAGAGATGAGGTCGATCTCCTGCAGCACTTCTGCAAGACCACCGGCCGATCTGCTGTGGCAATCCATCAACGAGACCCAGGAGCTGCAGCCGCCTTAAAGCAAGCAGGCCTGCCTGAGCTGTTGGATGATGCTGGACTCATCCGCAACGGCAAGGGGGAGGCGATGCTCTTGGGTCTGGTGCTCGCCGCAACTACTACAAGGAAATATATCGGCTTCATCGATGCGGACAACTTTGTCCCTGGCTCGGTGCATGAATACTGCAAGGTCTTCGCAGCTGGGCTGCATCTTGCTTCCCAGCAAAGCGACGACGTGATGGTGCGCATATCCTGGGCGTCAAAGCCCAAAGTGCAGGACGGTCAACTCATCTTTGGTCAACAGGGAAGAAGCTCGCGGATCGTGAACAGCTGGCTCAACCGCTTGCTAGTCATGTTGCAAACGGGAGACGATAGTCCAAGCAATGGCACTGACGAGCACCTGGTCAAGGGCATCGCAACGGGAAATGCGGGCGAGCATGCCATGTCCATATCTCTTGCATTGAAGCTGCGACTTGCATCGGGCTATGCAATCGAGCCTTTCCACTTCCTCGATGTGTTTGAGCAATTCGGGTCCTCGATGTCATCACCTGAGAACAACTCGTCGGTGCACATCTACCAGATCCAAACTCGCAACCCGCACTTGCATGATGCGAAGGACGACAAGCACATTGAGCGCATGTGGGCCGTGGCCCTTTCACACATCTGCCACTCCCACGTCTCCATGCCGGCCGGATGCAGCTCGAGCTACCGGACGGCGGTCGCCAGATTCATGGTGGATCAGGGCGTACTGCGGCCCGGCTAGGAGCCGGCGCGCGGGCCCATCTACCCATCCATCGGCGGCTACAAGGTGGACCGCCACCGCCTTCTGACCGTCCTGGGGTCTCGCGCGCGCAGCTTTCGGCGATTCGCGGGTGAGGCCATCAATGGCTTCGTACCTGCTCTTAGGCAGATATCTCAATCTTATGTTGATGAGGGTGAGGTTGAAGAACGGAGCAACAAGGGCTTGTCTCAAGGCAACAACAGCTTTGAAGGTGGGAGCGGCAATGATGACAAGAATACGGCAGGAAGCGAGTGAGGGAAACGGAATGAAGTCGTTCGAAGGAGGTTAGGGAACGAAGCGCTCGCTTGCGCAACCACACGTCGGGGCAAGGCTCCGCTTGGAGGCTCAACCGCATTTCCATTTTTTGCATTTATGTACAGGTAGCGGGCGACCGTCGGGAGGCTTTTCTGATTTCATATTTTGCTCAATCGATAAAGTAGACGCTCTCCGTGCGAATTGACTTGAAGCTCGATTTTCCCTTCCCCTCACACCTCAAGGCGAGTCAGTTGTGAGTGATCGTCCTGCCGGTGGTTTACGTCCGGCGGAAACTCAAGTTGACAAGTCTAAACCTTGACAAACCCCCTTCCCTTTCTACGAGTTCGTGGCGACAAGGGGCCTCCCGACAAGCCCAGCCAGCGTACCCAGGGTGTAAGTGGTCGCACAAGCTCCACCGACCAATCATGTCAGCCGGAAAGGAACATTCAAAAGCATATGAAATGCCGGCTTCCCGCCCCCCCTGGCCTGTGGCTGGAGCCTAGAGCCCCCAAATCGGGCGAGGTGCAGCTCTTGGGAGAGCTTCATCGTTGCAAGCAATAACAACCTTGGAGAATGGGCCCTCATCATCACTGGTGATAGCACAGATAGAACGGATGCATGCTCAGGTGACAGGGGAATTTCTTCTTTCATTTTTTTCATTACCAGTCTTTTTACCCGGCCGCCTTTTGCTTTTTGTCTTTGTTTTCCAGCCCTTCCCATGTCGATTCTACATCTAGCAACACCTCTAAAAAGATAGCTTCGCTTCTCCTCTAGTCGCCAAATCAAGTGTCGATGAGATATTGGTACATGTACAGGATATGAGGTGAGCCGAAGCCAAACAAAAACTTATAAGCGTTACACGTGTTGCGTAGGATAGAGGGAGGAGGAGGAGAAAACAATCAAAACAGCACACTCCTAAAATCCCGGGGTATCACCATCCTAGGGGTTGCCCTCCAGTGACAAACACCTTCCTTTTCTCCATCTCTTCTCCATTTTAGATTTTAGTAGCCGCTTAGCAATCCGTCGAGCTCATCGAGCTCAATATTCTCGGGGCTCCGGTCCCATTCGAGCATATTATCTAACTTGGCCCAGCTTTCGGCCTCTCCCTCCTTTTTAAGGTTGAATGCAAAGCTCGGGCGTATCGCGGGACTGGTGATAAAAGCCATCGGCTGGTGTACTGACAAGGTCTTTGAGTCACCAAAGAGGCTGTCGTCTCTTCCATCGTCCAAGTCCATGTTGTTCTCAACGGGATTCGTAGAGGAAGAAAGCAGATCGCCGGTAAGCTTTCGCTTCTGCAGCCCATCTGCAGTCTGGGTAAACTCCTTCTCATCTTTCTCCAGGGGAGGCGAGGCGCCTCTTTGATTATGTGCCATGAAGGTGCTAATCTGAGGCTGGCGAGAAGTAAGCGACCCGATCGGGGTGCTCGGCATTGGAATGTCGTCGTCCATGTCGTCGAACTCGGGAGAGGAGAGATCCACTTCAGGGGAAGGGCTCAACTCCCGTCTCCTTTCCTCGTCGGCATCTTCGGAAGTTGAAGTGGCGCTGGATAGCGAAGGCGTAACAATGGCGCGCTGAGCCAGTGGGACTGCAGCCGGGCCAGGGAGTGGTTGATGTGGGCATGTGGTGAGGTAGAAGTATGTTCTCCGGGGATGCACCGTCTCCAGCTCCTTCGCCAAGGGGCAGGGGGCTAGCGCCGTCCAGCACGATCGCTTCAGGTAGCTTGATAGCCTTGAGGAGATGATGGCGCATGGGTTCGCAGACCTGGTGATCATGTTAGAATGCAGACTACATATCCAAGACGCAGAATAAACTCACTGTTGAACGATCTTGAGCTGCTGCATGAGGATAGTGGCAAGCTCCTTGACGAGATAGGGTCGGTTGCCGGTGTCCTGAAGTTGGACGATGACAGCCTCGACAATCTCATCATTGATGCCCTCGAGGTCGACTTTCTTGACAACGGGAACAGCGGCGTCGGTCGACTCGTCGGATGCTGATGCAGAGCGTTCGGCGTGCGGCGAGGGAGGCGGTGTGTGGTTGAACTTCTTGGGGGCTGCAGGGGTCGAGACGGGGCTTTGCGCCTCATCGCCGTGCGACCGTTTTATCTTCTTGTTGGGATGCTGCTGGGCGTCCATGTCTGCGGCGGGAGACGGAGAAGTCGTCGAGGAAGGAGCCGCTGCTGCTGCTGTTGTTGATGATGATGATGAAGACGACGATGCGCCGTGGTGATTAGGGGAGGCTCGACTGGCAGCAGCGCGATGTGCGTGGGTGACTGGGACATGAATGCCTAGCGACGGCAGGGAGAGCGATTTGCGACGGGTGTTGTACGGCATGATGGGCGAGCCTTCTGTTTTAGAGATGCGGGACTATGCCTTCTGTTTCGGGAGACGGGGGACGGGGGTCGCGCCGGCGAGAAAAGGACAAGAGATTAGAAAAGAAAAAGACTATTACTTGTGTGCAGCCCGGACAACGGAATAATCATGCAAGAATCATACACTTCGTCGATGAGGGAAAGGGCGGTCGGGGGGGTTGTGTCGATGGGTTGAAGCAGGCAGGCAGGCAGGAGGATGAGGGAGGAAAGGGCGAGTGTGAGTGTGAGTGTGAGTGTGAGTGGGTGTGGGTGGCGGGCAGCAGAGCAGGCAGGCGGTGATGGAAGGACCAGGAGGTGTTTGGGTTTGGGTTGGGGGACGAGGAAAGGTACAGTACTGAGCAGAACTGAGCGACGGGAGTAGTGGAGAGCAGTAGGGTGTGCAGTAGTGTGCGCCTAACCTCAGGAAGGCTGTTCTGACCTGTTTGTGTGGGAGTGTGAGGCATGCCATGCATGTACATTTAACGAGCAGACAACGTACGATGTGTACCTACCTAGCACCCCGTAGGTAGTGCTGCTACTAATTAGTGGGTATTTTGAGTACCTTACGTTAAGGTGATGGTTAAGTGGAGGCGTCAGAGGTCAGAGGTCAGAGGTCAGAGGTCAGAGGTCAGAGGTCAGAGGGCGAGAGGAGCGAGGCAGTAACTTTTTTTCTGCCCTCTCTCGCCTCTCTCTGGCCTCCCGTTTTGGAGGAATGCTGGGGCTAGGCCGGTGTTTGGGAGGGTGGTGTTTGGTCAGTGGACGGCCGGCGACGGTCCACCCAGCGCATCTGAGACAGGGGTGCGGATGAATGGGAAGCAGCCCCCCCAGCAACAAGCAGCTGTGCCTTCATCACCGCCCAGAAAGCAGAAAGTGTGTATATGGTAAGAAAAGAAGAAGGAAAAAAAAGGCGGTAAACCAGACACATCCCGGCACTCGCAGGCAGCTCGACTAAGGCGATGCATGCATGCACATAGTAAGGCATGCAAGGGATGATAGAAATGAGATATCTAAGTCCTGAGGTACTGCGCACGCTGCGTAGCACAGGTGAGGCAAATTACGCTGCCTCTCGCCCTCTCTCCATCCCCATCTCAGCGATTTAATCCAAAGTGTCTGCTATCACTATCCACCCAGTCTGCAGTGCTGGATCTATTCGACGTAAGTAGGTCTCTAGGTAGGCGTCTTATGAATGAATGACAGACTGGGGGCAGTTCATCTATTCGTCACCTTTGTCGGCACATACCGGTACTCGCTCACAACTTGCTACTGCTGCTTAGGTATGACTTACCTACCTACAGTAGGTACTTACACGGCAGGGCTAGCTCGGGCGCATGCCTGTGCCATGTCGGTTTGCTCCTCATTACCAGCTGAGCTACTGGTACTACTGCGTAATGACCTGGCGGATATGAGCTGTTCTGTTGTCTTGCTCTGCTGCAACTTGATGGGAATAACATAGTAAGGTACGGTAGGTAGGTAAATCAAAACCTGCACCCTGCCCCCTGCTCTCTCTGCCTTGTAGGTACCTTGTGAGCTTGTCCGGTAAAGGCAGTCTCGTTCTCCTTCCGTGCATTCCATCTTCCGATGTGATGCGCACGACCGCTACTCATTCGCCCGCACCACACACTGGACGGGAGGTGCAGTGCACCAGTCATCACCCACCTCTCTCTCACACGCATACGCCATACGCAGTACGTACATACAGACTGCAAGTCAGCTCCCTGGCAATCTACGTAACCGTGGAATAAGAATTGTGGGGTGGGATCAGCTGGCTGGCCCGAAAGGGGAGTGGGTGGGAAGGAACGATCCAGGCTAGAAGACAATGAGAGAAAAAAAAAAATCAATCCAGGAAAAAAATGGCACTTCGGGAAAGCCTAGCAAGCCTAGGAAACTAAGAAACTAGGTAAGGTGGAAAGCGCAAGGCCAGGGCCGCGGCCTGTCCGTTTTTTTCTGCCCCTTCCCTTCCTGCCCAGGTGGCCAATGGCAAAGAAAAAAAAAAAAAATCGTTCGAGCCTTCCGTTATTAGAGAAGAAAAATTAGGCGGTGGGACTCTTCACGAGAACCAGCGACCAATGCGAGGCTTCCGAATTACTCCCTGGCAGCTCATATGCCCAAACTCCAGTACGACAAGCCGGAGATCGTGACATCAAGACTCGTGTCATTGCTGCCCCGAGCCTTGCCCGTTGAGTAGTCGTGCTTGTCTCCATCTCTCATCTGCCCACCCCGACCCCTCCTTGTCTGTTCCAGATCGAGCAGATGGATGGACAGATGGGATGGGTGTTGGAGATGTTGAAACCATGGATCGTCAGCATCAGCATGGACTGTACCACTGTACCCCAAGAAACTCTAAACGGGACATCGCCCGTGGTTGCACGAGCGGCTCGGTATTCCCCCAATCGATTCATTGCAATCAATCATTCATCTATCTGTGTCTTGTATGAAAGAAAGCGCCCTCCTCCTCCCCAGGAGTCAGGCGAAACAAACACACGAATGCTATCCCGCCTCCACCCGCAGCTGGCATGTTCGGCAAACATTTGTTAGAACTTTGACGACTGAGCCGAATGAGACGGGCGCCAAGACCCCTGCCGTCTGGCGGTTTTCGTCCCGTAGCAAGGTACCGGTACGCAGGGAGCTTGGATCTCTTCTGCCCTTAAGGGGTCCTTGCCGCTGTTTCGGCACATTCAGCTACCCAAATACTTCCAGACTCTGTGAATCCGACTGACATCTAGGTTGTGACCAAGTCCAGGTACTTCAGACAGCCCTGGCACATCCAGAGGGGAAGCGACTCCTACTGACGTCCATCGCTATCACTCTAGGTGCTCTCGTACCGTACGGCCCTGCAAGTGTTCGGCCGAGTCGGTGAACGGGTTGTTGAGATGCAACGACACCGCCTCGTGTGTGATCGCTAACAGTCAAGCAAGCCTGCCCAGCCAGCCTGGTTTCCCATCCTGATTTCCTGCTTTGCCTAGCAACGCTGGCACTGACTGGGCTGGCGCAACTTCTCTCATGCGCTGCGCTCGAATCACCGCCCTGCTTTCTCCAACTCCTCCGTTTGCCGCGGTGGCCCAAGTGGGCAGTCACTAGCTACGGCTGACCATCCGCAGCCACTAGCCCCGTGTTGCTCGCGTGCGCCGCCTGCATGTTGCTTTGCCTTTATGGTGCTGCACGTCCCTAATCCAGCGTCGCTGCAGCTCCTGATTCGTACCGCAAATCGCTAACAAGTGTGTGCATGGTGCTTTGTGCTGCGTCCACAACCAAGCTCTCAGGGAGGTGGAAGCAAGGGGGTGGATTTGCGACGACCCGGCTTGGGTCTTCACACCGCTGGCCTGGCTAGCAGCCCGGGGCGACAGCTTGTCCTGCCGAATTGGTCTTCGGGCGTGTCAATCACCAACGTCAGTTTCCGCCCGGACTGGCTCCGTCCAAGCCCCTATCGATCTCGGCAGGAGAGTGAAAGTGTGGTGCGGTCCACCCTGACGTCTTTCGGGCAGCACCATGCCATTGAAACATGGGCCACAGAGCCCAAGCATCTATCCGCACTCCATCATTCCAGCCAGTCGCTGGCAGACGATTTGCGCGACTACCCCTGGGCCCTGGCGACTAACTTACGAACAGGATCTTACTTACCCCGCATACGCAATGTCCATCTATCTTGCTCGGTTACAGATTCAGCGATGAGGCTGGGGGTTCTCAGGGGTGAAAGAGGCGAAAAGCCCCCCTTGGTAATGCCATCTACGCTCACGAGACATGATGATCAGAAGCTACCAAGTGCTGGACGAAATAAAAAGCTCACCTACTAGCAAAAGTATATCATCAAGATTTTCTTGTTTATTGACCCGTATTTGTGACCAGTGTGGTTGACACTTTATCAGTTACAGTTCATGTCAGTTGAGAAATGAGACTATTATGGTGTCAGGCACCTTGACTACCTTTTGCGGCGATGGGGCAATGAGGGAGGTTTGGCTTCATTAATATGATATCATCTCACAAGTTTATATATTAGTACAAATAAGTTACACGCCGATCAGTCAGTCACTTTTCTCTATACGTCAAAAAAAGGTGGCTGTAGTGCTGAAGCCGCTCATTCCCGTTATCGTAGTATGCATCGCTGCTTTGATTTCCTTCCATCATATGACTAGCAGCACCTGCCTGGAGTGCCCTAGCAAATACGATCATCGTCCCGCCTAAACGCCGTCGTCTAGCCATAGCCTTCTCTCGTACATGTGCCCGTCAAGGGCAAATAGCAGCGGCGCCTTCGCCTTTATGCGCGCTGCAGAACCTCCATGAATCGCTGTGCCACCTATTATTGCCAAGTTAGTCTCAGGTCCAATGATTTCAAGTCCAATACCGTCGAAAACAAACATACCTCGGGAGTTGTCTTGATGAAGGGGAGGTCAAAGAACAAGTACTTGTCGTTCTTGATCAGCTCCACGATGGTGGCAATCAGTCCCCAAGGCTGCGGCCAGAAGCCGACAAGCCTCTCCAAGAGGATTCGCGTAATTTGTTGACGGATCTCCGTCTCTTCGGGATCAGTCAGGTCGTGGCCGAAGATATCGAGCAACGCCTGGCTGAAGAAATAGGTGTAGGCATTGGCAAACCGAAGCTGGTTCACCATGCTGCTAAGTAGGTAGTATCGTGCTTCTGGTGGGAGCTCATGGACAAGCATGGACAATGTCTTGATGTCCGTGCCACCTGGTACGAAGACATTGGCACCATTACTTTGCTGCTCCCGCTGGGCAGCATGACCCCCTATGTACGTCGTAATGG